GCATGACTTGTAAATATATGAAGGATCAAGGGTAAGTTGGGAGTGGTTGGATGGACGGCCGATGTTGAATCCTTTGATCATGAACCGTTTGATGGACATTTGAATGTCTTAGTGATGTCGAAATTCAGTGATCTTGTATTCGTCTCGTTGAGCCGTTCGATTCGACAATAAACTCGTTGAGCCGTTCGATTCGACAATAAACTCGCCAAAATCGGAGATCGTTTGGTAACTCAAATTGTGGTTTGAACCTTCCAACAACGCTTTAGGTCCTTGATTTGGACTCATTTGGGCTCGGATTGAGTCAAATTTGGTGTCGTTGGGTTCGTATTTTCGAGACGCTCAGTTTGACTGTAAGTTTGCTGAAATCGAAGTTCAGGTGCTCCCGGATTTAATTTTTGAAGTTTCCAACTAGCTTTTTGCCTCGAGATTCGTGCCCGATCAAGATAATTTTTGCATGACGTATCAATGCTTACGTACAATTACAAACATGTATATACTATTTATAATGGTGCAAAAATATAATGCAATATGAATGAAATTCTATCTCATTTTCTATTCGTTTTTAAATTCTCCCTCTCTCCCTCTCTCCCTCTCTCTCTCTTTGTATATTATAGAAGATTAAGTAAACATGTGCACGCACATATCTCAATGGATTCCAAGTTGACTTCCACCTAATCCATCTGTGGATATCTCAGCAGTAGTGGTTGAAGAGGGAACTATTTTAATAAGATTTTGTAAGCTTTTGAGTGGCACAAATTATTGAATTTAAAAAAACCTCTTAAAATTTTTCCTCCCGGCTTCTGACCCGATATTGACGATTTTAATTTTTTTAAAAAAATACTCATTATAAAAAAATAAAAATACAACAAAAGGAAAATATTTAAGTAAGAATGATATATGTTGATTCATTTTTTGAATTTCTACAATCTAGTTGTTTGCAGATACGGTCTGTTTATCTAAATAAGGTAAGGGAAATCCCATTAAAAAACTTCACTGCTTTAGAATTAGAAGCCATACTTAAATCAAAGTAAGTAGTAAGAAAATAAGAAAAATTTTGTAGTTCAAAATCGAAGCAAACAATTTATTTAAAGGCGGAGATTCAAGAGAGAGAGAAAAACTTTCGGCCACCAATATTTTAGCGCCACGTAGCATGAAGGAAAGTCGCCGACCCAACCCGGTGTTTTTTGAGTTCTCGCACGTGCATTTTTTTAAATCCTTGACGAGTCGAACAACATCCCATTACCTTTTGGATATATTTCAAATACTTAGCAATACCGAGCAAATACCAAGTTGTACCTAATTTTTTCTAGCAATACCGAGCAAATACTGAGTTGTACCGAGTTTTTTCTAGCAATACCAAGCAAATCCTGAGCAAATACTGAGTTGTACCGAGTTGTAAAAAACTCGATACAACTCGGTATTTGCATGGTTTTGGTCTTCACAGAGCGGTATTTCTCATTTTTACAAAGCAATACCGAGCAAATACCGAGCAATGCCGAGAAAATCGCGAACATAGCATTCCCGGGTTCCGCTCCGGGTCAAGTCGTCGGGCCGCGCGGTTTAGAGTAAGAGCACGCGGCGACAAGTTATTGGCGGCCGAACGTAGCTCTACGTCCGGTCAGAGGACGTAATAATTGTTCCCGTGGAAGATACTTCAACGATTCTTCCAGAAGGACGTTCCGTGCACGCATGAAAAGGAAGAGCAGGAATGGGGAAGTGGGAAAGACCCAAAAAAAGAAAAAAGCTAATAAGTAATTAAAATAATTTGATTTACATGTATTTAAAGAGTCTTAAATATACTTAACTAAGCATTAAGTGCACAATTAGTGAGGGCCCAAGCTCCTAAATCCACCCCTAATTTCAAGACTGTATAATGCCTCATGCTTTGGGTTTTATATTCCTATTTTCTCCTTATTAGATGTCATAATGGAATAATTAAAAATAAGTAAAATGAACCCATTATAAAATTCAAAGATGATGCTAGTTAGTAACTAACCATGACGATGGCGGCAGCAACGGCCACAATTAGGGGTGTCAATTCGGGTCAACCCGTCGATAATGTTTAAAAATTCATCAAATCGAATGAATTTCAAATACACTAAATTTACAGTAAATGGTACATTTAAACTATACTATTCAAATAAGATGATATTAAAATTTCATTTGGGACAACTTTTTAACAGATTCTTAAAGCAGTTTTCTAGTACAATAATTTTTATTTATTTTTTATTAAAAAGTTGCTTTAAAAAACAGTAAAAAAGGCATCCCAAACAAAGCCTAAATCAAATATTCTGCCTTTGAATGGTAGTATTGCTGCTTTATCAACAATTAATGCATGATAATATCAAGAATCCTTCCTCTTAGAACATAATTTAAATAAATCAAAGCATTATAACAGATTAAGGTTTCGTTTGGGACGGCTTTTTTATTGCTTTCTAAAACAAAGTTTTAATACAAAAATAAAAAATTTTGTACTAAAACTCCGTTTTAGATAACAGTAAAAAAGCCGTGCCAAACGAAGCCTAAGGATTCGTTTGGGACGACTTTTTTTTATGCTACTTAAAACAGCTTTTTAGTATAAAATTTTTAATTTTTATATAAGAAAGCTACTTTATAAAGTAGTAAAAAAGTAGTCCCAAACTAAAGCTTCGTTTGGGACAGCTTTCTTCCTGCTTCTTAAAGCAGCTAGAAAGCTATTTAAAAAGGCGGTCCCAAACCAAGCCTAAAACACTAATTTTATCAACTAAACTAGCGGACACTGACTGATAAACAATATTCAAAACATCAAGGATCTTATTCTCATTCAATAAAAAAGCACAGATCAGATCAGAGGAATCAATAGGTGGCTACAGATTTACAGGAGGTAATTGGTGTTTGTTACAGAAGGATGAAAGGCTCAGGCAATGGATCAAATCTGCGATCAAACAAATGGCTCTCATCAGGCTTTTCATCAAGGCTTTGAAGCCAATTCAAACTCCTTGCATCCTCTTTAAGAAGGATTGAATCATACCTGGAGCTTCCATAGAATTTCATATCAATTGTTTTCGCTGGTACGTATTCTAGTAAAGTAGGCTTCAACTCTTCACTCTCAGAGGAACCTTCATTGTAGTTTTTGGGCATCAGTTCATTGCTGTAACTGTTATAGTCTGTGATTCTGTTCTTGTGCGTGGAGGGTGGAGGCTCGGCTCTTGAAACCGGCCGGTCTTTTAAAGCGGTGGTGGCAGTGGCAGTGGCGGTGGCGCTGGCGGTCGAGCGAATGCTGTGAGGGAAGAGGGAGGCGCCTCGCATGCCGCTCATGCCTTGCCGAATGTCCTGAAAAGTGCAAAATTTTGGAACAGAAGGTAGTGAAGAGAATGAAGGGTAGTTTGGTTGGGGTGGGGGACAGGTTAAAGTAATTGGGATCAGAGATATTATATGATAACATAATAACATTGAGAGCTAAAAGAAAATTTTCTAAAAATTATAAATTGGCTGACAATCTGATATTAATCTTAGTGTTTGTAAGTGATTTGCATGTTGAGCATGATAGATGAAAAACATTAAGATGAATATGTGGCAAAATAAAGAAGGATAGATCTTAATAAATGATTATAATTGAGGGACGATGAAAATAAAAATGAAGAAAACAAGGTTAATTAAACAGGAGAATTATCATCTTAGTATTTTCATGTATAAATATTGCATGAAAGGAAAGAAAAATCATGACATGCAGCAACACATGTATAATATTAGACTGTTAGTTTTTAAATTACTATAGATGAAACAGCCTCCAGTGATATCTTCTGTCAGTTTTTTTTATCGTTCATTCTTTTGGAGTTGCATAATGGGAATGGAGAATGAAAACACTATGCAAAGCTGTATGACTTGTGAAAGGGACATACCATATGCTTGATGGCCATGTTGAGTGAATTTTTTGACATGGTGCGGCCATAACCGCCGCCAGTTTCCCCTCCCAGAGCAGGTTTCACAGGCTTCTTCTCTGGTGCCACTGGTTTTTGATTTTCTGTCAGCTTCAATCCATCTCGATTCCCATTCACTCTGCCCTTTGCTGGATTGTCAGCAAACCGTCCCCGAGTCACCGCCGGTGATGATGCCCTCCTTGAAGAGCTAACCCCACTTCCCGCCACTTCCACATTTGAATTGCCCCGCACAGTAAGCTCCATTGCTGGTCTTTGCCTCCCAGTTGAGACAGGTCTCTCTGGCACCTTAGTTCTCAGATTGGGCGGTGCATTAGGAGGAAAGTCGGGGGGAATAATTGGCTGCACTGGAGTTCGGCTTCTAGCAGGAGAGCTCGGGCGAGAATTGGGGGAAGGAGATGGCAACCGGCGTGATGGAGTTGAAGGTCGGCTGCCCGTGCGAGCCTGCGTAGAATTTGAGCTGAAGGTTGACATCGAGGAGGCAGGGAATTGAGCCCTGGTGGGCGGCGTCGAGGGGCGTGAGATTTGTGCAATGGGCTTCGGTTTTTCAGCGGCAGGGTTGATGGCATTTGGTCGTGTCCTCGCAGGAGTGGTTGACCGGGACATGGCAGGTCGCAGGCCGGTGGTGGCAGGAGTTCGGGGCTTGTTGCCCGGGGTGGTGGGGCGAGAGTTCACTGATGCTGTACTGGTGTTGAGGACCGAAGAGGGAGTTCTGCTGCTGGTAGAGAAAGAGGCGCGTGTGGTTGAGCTGCTTCTGGCTATTCTTGGGCCGGGGCTGCTGTTCTCAGACTGAGGTACTGAAAGCTGAAGTCGAAGAAATGAATAAATGATGTTATGTATCTGGTCTATTGAACTTAAGTTGTTGGACTTGGAAGTAGAATGAAAGAATTTTTTCTTGATAATTTAAGGAGAAGGACATAAAAGGCATACCCTTGAGGGTTTTACAAGTGAGACCGATCTGATATTGGAGCTGCTTCTTTGAGAAGATGCTGGCGGTTGGTGGTCGGTAGAATCCACTGAAGAAAAAAGAGGAGTCCCTGGAGGAGTAAGGAGCCTGTTCATGAGGAAGAAATTAATGAGCCATAGAAATTAGAATGGGCATTAGCATGGGCCTGCAAGGGCTTCTTAGAATTTTAATTTTACTTGTGGGCATTTCACTTTATATTTTTTTATTTTTTATAGGAAATATCAAACACCAAAATCAAACAGTTAAAATCTGCTTTTTGGAATTACAATCTGCAGCCCACATAAATTCAACAAACAGAAATCAACGGCTTGCAGCATCAACTTTTTGAAATAAAAACTTTCGTCTGACTTTTCAAACTGCAAGAGTCATACCGTATAAAATCTTACCAAATCTTACCAGAAATTTTTGTACTAAAATACAGTTTTAACTTTTAAAAAGCAATTAAAAAGTTATCCCAAACAAAATCTTATTAGTTTCTTAGGCCATGGTGGGCTGACACATCCTAAAAACGCTTGGGAGCTACAGCATAGGAAGCTTGAGGACAATAACAGCTCTTCAACGTATACCACACGCTGGTACATAACAAAAGTGCCAACCATTAAAGTCAAAAGGTTGCAGTAAACATGGATTGGAATGCATTTTGCATGGTAATCAGGGGGAAGCATTGAGAGTTCTCGTGATTAAATATGTGGCAATGGCTTCATTTCTAGGAGATTATTTTGTGCGGTGTCCGAACGAGTCCGAAGATCAATACGGACACACCATGTCACCTAATGCACAATGCATTGAGTGATGTGATGCATCCGGATTAGCCTCCGGGTGCATCCAGACACCTCACGTAATAATTTTTCTATTTCTAGGATCGTAAAAGTTGGACTTGATTTAAACAGAACAAACTCAAGTTGCAGAAAAAACCGCCAAATTAAAACAAACCATATAAGATTAATCCACTCGAAATTTCATCATAAATAAAAAATATATTGTTTCTAAGATTTGATCTTAACATATTTAGTTAGATTTGAAGGTATTCATCTAAACTATTATAAAAGTCAAGTACAAGTTGTTCTAATGATCCTAAAATGATGAACCTGGTCCCAAAAACCATTCTCTGGTTAAAAAAAAAAAAAACCACCCGCTCTGAAGTAGATAATGGAAGCATTCAATTCGCCATTTCTGCCACTAGAATTCAATTAGCGTATCATTTCTCAAAATTTTCAACTTCCTGAGCGGCTATTTGGCATCCACTTTTACGAGGAATCCTATTTCAGGAAACATTTAAGCAGGATTTTAATTCAAATCTTTCCGAACAAAATTTTTATGAATAGTAAATCCTATTTAAGCTTTACAATTGATTAAATCCATAAATAAATAGTCAAATAATTTATCATGATTGATCAAGATTTAACATATGACATGTGAAAAAGTGTTCAAGTTTAAATCCACTCCAGTCTAACTAAATCAAGATTTTTAAATTCTACTTGTAGTCAAACATCTTTAAACTGTACAAACATTAATGGTACGGTGATTAAATGCATTGTCTTCCAGAGTTTTTTTTTTTACCCACTGGGGCTTAGGATGGTTGGTGGGCGCGCACGGTTGGGAACCCCCCATCCCGGATTCGAATACCCTCTACTAAGGCCTCGCCTCTGATCCCGATACCAGTGGATGGACTCGTTAGGTTCCGCCGAGGGATTAATTACGCCACCACGCGCTCCCTTTGGAGTGGCAGCAGATAGATACCCAAAAAAAATATCTTATTTTATGTTAACACAGATTTATTACCACAACTAACATATTTCAATTCAATTCTCAAAAAAAAAAAAAAATCTTATTTTATGTTAACACAGATTTATTACCACAACTAACATATTTCAATTTGGAAGTAGAACTAGATGCCTAGATCTTCCAGAAAGATTCAAACATAGCACTTAATTAAAATTATCAACCAAGCTTGGATCTTGTAGAAACTTCATAATTAGTAGATGCAGCTATAAGCGTAACAAAATTGAACAAGGAAATTCTTCCCTAATACCATAATGGCTGGAAAGAGTAGTACACGCACACATTTAAAGTCAATGAACTTAAACAATTCGGGATAAGAAAATGCTAATGTTTCTCACACGAGTTTCCCGGTCAGTGTTTCCAGAAAAAAATACAGTTTAAAAAATTACTCATAATTTTTTATTTAATTAAAAATATAGGATAAACAAAGAAAAAACAAAAACGTTTGAGCTTCTAAAAATTTGAATGGTACCAATCGTAGTCGTGTTTTCCAATTTCGGCCGATAAGAATTCCTCTGCAGCGCTCCTCCCAGATTTAGTCAATCCAATGGAAACCTTCTTTTCCGTTCTATTCAGCACTGCAAAGATTGCGACTCCAACAGTTTAAATGGCAGAAAAGGAATTGCAAATCATACTAGCAAAATTTCATTTTTGAACGAGGAATACGCATTCTAAGCGCAGATCAACAGGGATTTTTTGAAAGAAGCTTTATAAATTCAAAGGTAAATTCTCAATGTACACCCATATTTGTTTGGATAATGTAATCAAGCCAATGTGAGGACTTAGTTGACCTGAACTGGCTATAACTCAGAACTTGCAAAGACAAAATTCGATTAGAAAGACAAGTCTGATTTAGCTCAAAATTGGCCTTTCGTAGTACTAACTTGCTGAACTCACTTGAGTGAATGATTAGGATTTTGTTTGGGACGACTTTCTTGCAGCTTTTTAGTACACAATTTTTTATTTTTGGCTGTTTTAAAAAGTGGTCCATTAATCCAGATTATTCGCCCAAAAAAACTCATCATCTTGCTCAGAGTATTCTCCAACCTACTAAGTATTTTCATCAAAAGAACTAGTGCTCAATCCGAATTTGTACATAGCCCGAAGTTCTCCTAAGAACCAAATAAAGGTCTAACTCATTAGCCATACTAAGTCTAACTTGACTAAGAACCAAATAAAGGTCTAACGCATTAGCTTTACTAAATTCAACCTGTAAAAAAAATGGAGTTGTATCATGTAGTCAATTCTATAATGGGATATATAGGAATAAGAAAAATCACAAGCAAAAATCACAAGAATTTTACTTGAATTTGCCGAGAACTGTTTTTTTTCTCTCAGGGCATCTCCAGCCGAAAACTTCATTTTTCACGGCAAAGTAACGCAAAACTTCAAAATGGCGCGGTGATGCTCCAATCGAACGTCATTTTAGGTGTTTTTGAGAAGGTAACGATCGCTCTCCCTTTCGCGCGTTTTTCCGGTTGAGAGCAAAAAATGGCGTGAGTGAATATGGCGTCGCACTGTTCACCTGCGATTAAATGGCGGAAATTTTCGCGTTCGGTTGGAGCGAGGGAACGACTCCATACACTCGTTTAGCGTTCGGTTGGAGATGCCTGAAGCAATTTAATAAAATTCATGCTTCTCTATTAACATGAATTCGAAATTTTTGATAGATTCGTTGAGGCCTAACTTCTCTCTTTTTCTCGGTCTTTGAGCTCTTCTCGAATAAAATACTAATATCTTTTCACATAATTTTTTTTTGGATCCAAAACAAACTATTTCACTTGATTCCTACGATACGGCACCAAATCAGAACTAAAAAACAAAAAAATCATAGACAGTGACAAAACGATAAGAAGTATTCCCTAAATTTCGAATCAATCCTCCCACATTTCGAATCATAGATCGACTGAAATAAAATAAGAGAACATTTCCAGCAAGGTTCGAAACACGCTCACCATCAGATTCGCCAGAAGAAGAGATCGCGTAGCCCCGGCGCGTCCTGGAGAACAGATCCAAGATCTCTTCGCCTTCGCCGGATGGAACACCGGCGAGCCCTTTTCCCCGTCGGAGCAGCGACGACGGCACCGCCACTGCTCCAGCCGGAGCATTCCTCCCAGCTGGAAGATATCCCCTCGAGATTCTACTCATCTGCTTGATTCCAACATTTCCCACAGATCTCCCTCAATCTCCGAAGCCCTCTCTCTCTCTCTCTCTCTCTCTCTCTCTGCACTCAAATTAATGGCGGCAGAACAACACAACACTCCGATCTCAAATAGCCAAAGAACGTCGTGAAGTATAATCCTCACCGCGGGAGAAACATAACGTATCCAAGAACTATTGTCTGGACGGTCAGGATGCATTGTATGCATTCGACGGTCAAGATTGTATACTGCAGATTACCTTCAGCAATCAGTTAGCTGCGAGGGAGGGGAAAAGTTAAAATGGTCGTGTTGCCACGTGGACAAAAAAGGTGTTGGACGGTTGCGATCGAACTGATGGTGAGGGGTGGTGGACCGCTTGATGCCTTGGACCGCTTTGGTTTGTTGCCCGGTCCGCGGTTGGCCCGTTGGGCGAGTCGATGGCGACGTCACAGCCGTTCGATTTTATATGACTGTTCGTGATGTGACTGCAAGTGCTTGCGTTTGCGTATCAAGTAGAATTTCGCAACTATATTCTTTAAATAAATAAATAAATTTTATTTGTTTTTTTATAAAAAAATAAACTTATTTTCTTTCAATAATAATGATACAGTAAAAATTTGTCATGATGTAAGAGATTATGATTCTTGACAACTATTAGTATAATAATATTATTATAATAATAAGAACATTAGCTAAAAAAATATTAAAATAAAATCGAATCATTGCAAAAAAAAAGTTATCACTTAAAAGAAATAAAATAATAATAATAATATATGAAACATAATATTAATGAATATTCATCATGTCTATTTATAAATACAAAATAGTAAATAAACAGGAAGGTGAATAAAAACTTAAAATGAATATAAATTTAATACATAGATTAAAAGAAAAAAATATAAAATAAGAAATTATTTAATTCATTTGATTCCTCCAATATGCGCTTTTAAGATGGAGTCGCATGAAAGGATGACAAGCCTTGAAAGTTATTGAATTTATTTTGAAGTTACTGTTCTAAAAAAAAAGTTTATATTCACTAATTTTAAAAAAAATAATAATTTTTATACTCATTTTAACTAAATTTGTATAAAAAAAATATGATTTTTTTTATTTAAAAAAGATCTGTAGAAAATTTTATATATTTATTTTAATTTACTATTAGTCAAGAGTTTAGAAGACATGCCATGTGATGAGGCTTTCAATGGAGACCATATATTTTATCTAATGCATTTAGATTAATTAAAAATAAAATAAAATAATTTCAATGAATTAAAAAAAATCCAAATTCCAACTTGATACCACCAACTAGTTTGACATAATTATTATACAAAATAACAAAAATAAAACATCTGACTTAAATTTAATATAGATATTAAATTTGTTTAGAGATAAATATACTATAAATTTTTAATTATTTATATATTATATTCATATTAAAAAAATTAAATAAATATAAAATTTATAATAATTCAATTTGAATAGTTTTTCCCTGATAAAAGACATAATAAAATAAGTTAATGACTATGCACTAAAAAATTATTTTTCACACCAACTTTCCAGCTGCAGTAAAATAAAATATTGAGAGCTACCTACTAAGAAAAAGCAGAAATAAAAATTACATTGAAAAAAAATCAAAATATTAATATTAAATAATTAAAACATTGATGGAGTTGCTAATAGTTGAGAGGATGAGATAAAAATAGTAGGGGATTGAGGTGTAATTGAGTCAAGCTGACTCGATAAATAGCTCGTAAGCCGAGCTTACTGAGCTAACGAGTAAATTTTGAGTCAACCTCAACTCAACTTTTTAGCTCATAAACAAACTCTTTTAAAAAATATTTAAGTAGACTATAGTTAAATTTAAGCAAAAATGTTATTAAAAAATATATCAATTTTATTATACCAAGTGCTTTCTTAATACTTTTCTATTAATTTATCATTAGTTGAATGATTTTATTATAATAATTTTTTGAATTAAAATCAATTTTCTTTTTTTATAACTCACAAGCCAACTCGAATTCATAGAATTAAACTCGAACTCAAGCTCAAGCCAGGGATAACACAAGCTTGAGTCAACTCAGTTACACCCCTAGTTGGGATGGATCTGAGTATCAAGCATGCCGGGTTAGTTGGGTCTGGGTAAGTTGAATCGAGCCAAGGATCAACACAAACTCGACTCGACCTAATAATTGGATCCCACATTTGAGCCCTAACTCTAGGTTTTGATCGGGCCGGGTCAATTCAACCCATATTCCTTTACTCATTTAGTAGCTATCAATTCCTCATACATTGCCTGATTGAGACCATGATTGGGACTCAAAGATATGGTAAGATATGCATACTCAATGGTCATAAATCAAATAATTATAATTATCATGTTCTTATAGAAGACAAATAATTATATTTCAATTATTATGAAATAGGAGCTTTCTGTGGTTCCAATTTGCTGTAATGACAGATAACAGTGTAAGACTTTTTTTTTTTGGAAAATTAACAGTATAAGATTCATAACAGGTCTTATTATCAGGTGGAAGTACCTGACAGGCACTCCTTTTTGACCTATTTGAATTGTCTCGACACTATTCACAGATTTGGATTACTAATATTCTAATTAGAAATTATTCTATTAGTGAAGTCTGTGAGATAAGTGAAGACAAATACAATCAGTGATCACATGGTGCAAAATTACGTCCAAAAAATGATTGAGATGCAGCACATGCAAAGAAAATGAAGTTTTGTTCTATCTCTCTCCCTCACATTTGGAGAAATTATTCTGTTTGGACACCGGACAATCTGGAGGTGAATCAGAACGCGCCACGCCACCCAATACACAACCACTGTACACAACAAACGGATGATGTGGCGCAATTTGATTCGTCTCCGGATGACATCCGTATCCGCATAGAAAAATTTCACCCATATTTGGAACAACTTTTTCATTACTTTTTAGTACAATTTTTTTTTTTGGTACAATAAAGATATTTTAAAAAAAAAGTAAGAAAGCTGTTCCAAACGAATCCTTTCTCTCTCTTTTGCTATAGAGAAAAATAAAGGTCAAATATTCTGATTCAAATTTACAAACAATGGTGTCCATGAAACATTAAAAAAAAGAGGAATTTGTTTATAGCCCAAGTGAAAGCATATACTGTAGCATTACAAACTGAAAAAAAACAAAAAACAAGCTCAGTTCATAAGATTTTCCACCAATTTGAAAGATCTTTTGTCTGAATTTTTATTTATGCATTACAAAGAGACTGTTTTCATGATTCGAACTTGATCGTAGACTCTATATCACAATAAAACAACTTAAAAATTGCTCCAAATTGGCCTCTTACTTGAGCCTGAACTATAAAAATCAAACTAAATGCAAAGCTGCAATGCTAATATCAGTGAAGGTTTCTAATGGAATTGACAAATGCTGGTTGATGGATAAAGTCTGTTCCAATTTCATGTGAGAGGAAAAACTGGGCCTAATCCTCAAATATAAAATATTTTATATCTTCTTTTATAGCATTTCTCTGCTGACGACTTATAACAAAATAAACTAACTGGTTGATCAAAGATACTGTATGTACCAGACGTTAAGTACTAAGAACTTACTTTCTCAAGGTTCTCGAGCTCCCGCCGCCTTTTCTCGTCGTCTAGTACTCTCTGCTCTTCATCGTGCTGTTTTCTTTCAGCTTCTTCTCGCTCTCTTTTTTCATCTTCTTCTTCTTCCTCCAGGTCGAGAGCTTCGAATTCCTTCTCAGCGGCCATTGCTTTAACTATAGGATCTCTCAGTTCTGATATCAAACCGCCACCCACTTTGTATTCTTGCTCATCACCGATTAGGAAGATCCTCTGATCAGGACCTGATGCAATGGGGATATCGACAGCAAGAAGCTTCATTTCATGCTGCAAAAGAGAATTATTTATGGTTTGAGATTTATTTCGAGATACTGCATAAGCCAATCCAGCAGTTAATTAATGTTCAAAAAATTGAAATAGGGTCAACATTTCCAGTGGACTTAAATCAAATGAAAAAGATATTTTCTTTGGCGTTATTTTTCTTCCCAGCAGAGGAAAAATGTAGTACCAACAATTTCAAAGGACAATATGAAATGGACTTTCATATGGGCAATGAAAGATCAAACATTAATATTGAGATTATGTGGTGGAATGAGCACAAAGAATTATTACGCAAAGAGAAGTGCTTTAAAAAAAGTTAATAATAACACTAAGGTTTTGTTTGGGATGGCCTTTTTACTGCTTCTTAAAGTAACTTTTTAGTACAAAGATTTTTATTTTTGTACTAAAAAATTATTTTAAAAAACAGTAAAAAAGCCATGTCAAACGAAGCCTAAATACTTAAACCAAACAAAATAGTAAACAACGCCAAAGCTCCTCCTTATACTTTGAATCATAAGTTGAGTAATAATGAAGGAGAAAAGAGTGATACAAAATAAAGGAGAAACGAGAGATACAAAATAACTAAGAGAAAGATCACTAAATACTTTAACTAGTCAAAACTATTAGAGGTAGAGACAAGAGGTTGTTAGTTGAAATGAAAGACATCAAAGAAAAAAAAATATTAGCTATTTTAACACACTAATTGAGCTTTTAAGAGAATATAATTAAAAAAAAAACAAATGCAATAATGACGTATAGCATATGTTGATTAAAAAATTTGACGTTAAATTAACTCCAAAAAATCCGCATAAAGTATTTGATCCAGAAATACTGAAATAGTAACTACTAAAATTTGTGAAGTTCTTATAGATGACAAAGTAATATGACAAGAAACCTTTTCGACCAAATTCTAAAGGCGAAGGGATAAAACTAGAAACGACATAGAGTGTAAGATAATTATATTTTAAGGACAATAGGAGTGAAAACTACATGATATGATACAATATGCATTAATAAGAACGGCAAATAAAATTAATCTAGAAAGATTAGAAAGAAAAAAAAAAAGATAGATCAAAATAATAATTGCAAATTAACTTGTACAAAATATAATTAATAACTCATGCAATACCCAACAAAATGAATAGAAAAGGATACAACAACAACAACAACAACAACATCAAGCCTTTATCCC